TGCCCATTTTTCTCTCTTTTATTCACTTTAGCATTTTTTCTTTCTCATATATATATATATACACACATTTGTATTCTATAGACAAAGTAATACAAAACGCTGGTATACGTTTTATTTTGCATACTTTAACCTAGTGTCCACGCTTGCATTACCCTAATAAGGGGTTTACAGCTCCCATGTCCTTTCCCAATGAGAAAAAGGCTTACGACGATGAGAAGCCTCCTTACTCCCACAACGACGACGATGGTTTCTTGAGCCATGATGACGAGTACGAGGGAAAGATGTTTAAGCAGCCTGTAGAGTACCCCGAAGACAAGAAGAAAGGGCATATGGGGTATCCGGAGGACAAGAAGAAGCCTATAGAGTACCCAGAGGACAAGAAGAAGCCTATAGAGTATCCAGAGGACAAGAAGAGCCGCATTTATCCCGAAGACAAGAAGGGCTATCCGGCAAACTTTGACACTTACGCGAGTACCAGCTACCCGGTGGACCGGAAGACTCCACCATCAGAGTCCAAGGTGGTTGAAGATGACGACTACTTTTGCCCCATCAGTAGCAACAACGGCTCGCGCATCCAGTCCATTGACCAGAATACATTCCCGCCTGCCGTAGCAGCCCAGCAGTCATCCAAGCCCCACCAGCGCAAGCACGCCAGCGTGACTAGCGACGAAATGGACCGCACGTTTAACGACAACGACAGTCTGGACCGTCTGGAAAAGTACGACGACATTTACGATGACGCCCCCTATCACCATGGCCGCCCCCGCCACAGCGGAGCAGCTCGTGACGAGCACGATGGCCGTATGGCCATGCCCGTGGCGCATGGATACGAGAACGGCAATGAGAAGTACGACGAAAAGGCGGTGGCCCATTATCACGACACTGAACGGACTGAGCAGGTCGTCATTTCGCCGTATATCGGCAAATGGGCACGTATTTCGCGTGCGTGGGCTACGCACACGGTTGTGCTCCTGGTGTTTACGGCCATTATGTTTATGCTGTCGGCAAGCGATGCGCGGACCAAGGCCGAGGCCGCTATCGCAGAGCTAAACTCTGTCTGTCTGTCGCTTCAGTCGGCAAGCGAGACTGTGGTCAATTCGCCTCGTTCAGTCGGCATCACTACTGTCACGATGATCCAGACTGCTGCGCAGTCAATCATCGACCTTACTGGCCGCTCATTGCTCAAAATCGTCAGCATGCTGCAAACGCTTATTGTGTGGGTGCTTCGCATGTACTTGGGTACGTACATTTGCATTGCCGAGGTTATTATCCGCACTGCGCTTAGTATTGCCGCTGACGTGTCCAAGGTTCTGACTGAAGCGCTTAATGTTGCAGTCAACACTGTTGTCAGCAGCTTGCAGGGCGTGGCTGCATCGATTGCGAGTGGTATTCAAGACGCGGCCAATGGTATTGCTGGCTTTTTCACTGGCAACAAGAACAACAACCCGGTCAACTTTAATATTGATGACATTCGCAAGAACCTGACCATTGCTATCCCCACCGACTGGATCAACAGCATTAGCGGGCTGGCTGACAAGATCCCGACCGAGAGCCAGATCTTTGGCAACATTACTGATCTCCTCAACATCCCGTTCAACCTGATGACCAGCGGTCTCACTTCCACCTTTGCCAATGCGCGTGTGGATCTCGTCAACACAACGCATTTCCCTGCCGAAAAGACGGTAGACATGTGCTCGACTCCAATCGGCCAAGACACCATCAATGCCGTTGGCGATGCTGCCATGTGGATTATGTACATTGCTGGGTTTGCGCTGCTGGGCGCCGCATTTGGCGTGTTTTTGTTTGAAGTCGCCCTGGTCGTTCGCCATCAAAACCGCTTCCAGACCCGACTGACAAAGTTCCGCAAGGACTTGACCGAATACGGACAGAACCGGTTTACATCGCGCATGGCAAAGTTCCGCCAGAATCTGTTTGGACGCGGTGCAGGTCTTGCTGCAAAGTTCCGCCAGGACCAGGTCGGGTACACGGCTCCCGAGGCCCGCTGGGCAGAGTCTGGCAAGGAGAAGGTTGGCCACATGGCGGCGTCCGCGACTCGCCTGCTGGGCTTCCGAGACGAAAAATCGGACTATAAGGATCATGAAACTCGCGTGGCAGACTCGTATCACGGCGAAAAGTCGGACTATAGGGCCCATGAAGCCCGCGTGGCAGGCTCGTGCCACGACGAACAGCCAGACTACAGGGCCCACGAGACTCGCATGGTGCACTCCCGCCAAGACCTGGTCGAGTATGTGCCGCCTGTGACTAGCGAGGAGATTGAGCAGCAGCCGGCAACGAGAAAGGAGATGGATTTCTTTGTGCTTCCGGGTCGTCCCTGGTTTGATCGCTTTACAACGCTGGTGCTCAGAAAGTTTGGCGACTCAAACAAGACCGCCGCATGGCGCTGGTACATGGACTACATCTGGCATCCTCCAGCCATTGCGTGCTTTGTTGCCGGCGCGCTCGGGCTGACCTGCATTCTGCTGCAAATTGCCGCCATCAACCGGCTGCGTGGCGTGTACATTCCCATGCTGGCCCACGACTTGGACGAGTTCCAGTACAAGTTCTTGGATCAGGAAGTGCTGGGCGCCGTGCGCAGTGACTCCATTGCCTTAGCCAACACTATCAACGGCGATATTACCACTTCTGAGGGCTCGCTGAACCGCACGCTGTTTGGACCCATCAACGACGGCACCACGTCTCTCAACAACACGCTCAACGACTTTGTCTCCACGTACACCAACAGCATCCGCTCCGTCTTTGCTGGCACGCCGCTAGAGTACCCGGTCGAGGGACTCGTCAACTGCACGCTAACCAAGAACATACAGTCGGTGCAAAAGGTTCTCACGTTTGTGCATGACTACGCCAGCGGCGTTGACCTCCCGCGAGTCAGCGACCAGGTGCTCTACGACCCCGTACACGCCCTGCTCAGCCCCGTCAACAAGACGGTCAACCGGTTGCGCGAATTTGCCGTTGGCGTCTATGTCCCCAATGTCAACTCGTACGACCCCATGTCGTTCCCGCCCGAGAAGGAGCTGTCAAGGAGCAAGGCGCAGGCCAGCCGCGAGTCCAAGCAGAGCCACAAGCACTCGGAAGGCAGCAGCGACGTTGACAGCGACAGCGACAGCTTGCTCATACCCGACTCTTCGTCTACTCCTGCAGGGCTGGATGCTCCGGCGGCGGCTGCCGGCCCAACGGTGGCGTCTGACGTGGTTCTCTTGCGGCGCGACGACGCCAATGCCTGGGTTCCCAACATCATGGTTGTCGACTCTTTGCCCATCGCCGACGCCAACAGTGGGCTGTCTTCTGGCGACGCTGCCATTATAACCGCATTGGGAGCTGGCGCTGTGCTGCCGCCTTCTGTGACGTCCCCGCTGCAGCCAGAGCTGGCCTCGCTTGGCACCGATGTTGGCGGAGGAGACAGCTCGCTCAGCGATGACCTGCTAGACGACTTGCAATTGTACAACACGCTGCCCACTTCCGACTTGAGCCGCGAGGACATTGAGGACGCTCAGACGTATGGCGGATATACTGGCGGTGTGCTGGGCTCGCTGTGCGACTCGTACGTGAGCCGCTTGAAGGCCCAAATCCCGCTCATGGTTGCGCTGATGGGCTGCTGGGTCGTTGTTCTCATCATGGGCCTGTTCCACCTGGCAAGTGATCTTCGCAAGATTAAGCGCAACAACTTGCGTTAGACGCGGGGCTCACTTTATTTCTTTTCTTCAATGACTGCATTTTTATTATACAATGGCATCCCCCTACTCTCAACCCGCCTTGCCAGCCGCGCAAAAGTAAAACTGAATGTGTGTAGAAAGAACGACCGCAGTTCTTTTTGCGCATTTTTGTTCGCTTGTTGGACAAGAAGTCTCCCTCTCCCCCTTCTCAAGCGCGTTCAAAGGCCTTCAAAGAAGCCGGACGCCCAAGCCATGACGCAGTCATCCACAGGGAGGCTGCGGCAGTGCGGAGACGGGCGGACGGGTGTGACAAACAGCTGCACCTGCTGCGGGGGCGAGACTGCAAGCCCAAATCATTCACGGCCTCAAGTCTTCTCGCAAGCTCGCCAGCCCGCATCTTTTAAAAAGGCAAGGATGGGCCGCCAGAGGAGATTGCGCTTTGGTTTTATCATTCACCACAACCTTCTTTAATTCATATTCTATACTTCAATCATGTCGCGCATCAACTATAACGAGCTACGCGAGATTGTTAAATCCACTTGGCGCAAGCGGGACCCACTGGAGCCTCTGCGAATCATCGCCTTTGTTGTGCCCAAGGGCGAAGAGTTGCCATCAGACTATGCAGTTCTCGCGCATAGCAACTACAAGGACATAATGGATGGTTTGTGCTTTGAAGCTAACCAGTGCGTATTTTACGAGCTCGAGTCGGGCTACTCGTCTGGAGGAGGGTCTGACTGCGAAGACGCGTGCAGCATAGCAAGCAGTACAAGCGGGTGCTGTAGCGAGCGCTCAACAGGTGCCATGTTCAACGAGTTTATCGTCACTTCTTCGCCAACGCTACCCACGCTCAAGTCGTGCCCTGTCCGCCTAAACTCTATTGTATTTATCTAAATAATTTGTTTATAATATTCTCGGCTTTTACTTACAACTAATACATAAGCTATGTAAATTGAAATCGAAGCAATAAAGTGGCTGTGTTGTAAAAGCTTAATTGCTTCCAGATATGCCAAATTATCCGAGCTAACAATGTGGCATTTAGTGATAGATGACATCCATTGTGTGCTGTTCATTGATGAGCAAAAGCTGCAAAAATACAGTGGGTTGCCTGTGCAAAAATTGCGCTGCAGCGCGGTAAAAATCTGAATGTGTTATCAATGTAATTTTAATTGAAAGATTAGTAGACATCTAAAAGACGAAAATGCACATTTGGCAGTAAACGCTAGCACGAAGAATCACCTTCAACAAACCCCGTGCAGTTACAAAATCAGCAAAATGAACAAAACAAACATAGATATCGTAATTCATGATTGGCTTGTTCAGCCCAAAAAAGTCGGTGTGACCGAGTGGTTAAGGTGCTAGACTTGAATTGCTCACTTGTTGAGCCTGGATATCTAGTGGGCGCTGCCCGCGTAGGTTCAAATCCTGCCGCCGACGTTTGTTTTTGAGTTATTTTCTCGTGTAGAGCTTTTTTGCCCCACATTTCAAGTCACATGAATCTCCCGTGCCTGTCCCCCAGCCAATCATCTGCTCTCGCATAAACACACGTGACTCACGTGATTGGCGGCAGCTAGTTTTCTTCAAGCCTTTTGCCATGGTTTCACAGCAAGAATAGAAAAACGCTTAGTCCAAGACAGAAAAATCGCTGAAAAATGTTGTTTCGTGTTGATTAAGAACATCACGTAATCAGGGCGGACGTCAGAGATTCCCAATTTTTTTATGACAGACAGATAGATCAGCCAAAGCAACGTCATTAGCTGACTGCAACGTCGCTCCAAGCCTTTGAAAGCATGACAAAAGAGCTAAGAAAAGGAAGGAATAGAAACTGTTGATGTCAGCTGTGTGTTTTTGTCCAGCTACTGACTGCCCAGGAGCAAGGGGATGCCTGACATCATATATGTCGTTTGCTTGAAAAATGACAGAGGAGAAGACATGACAAAAAAACCCCAAATAGATGGCGTCACTCTTATTTGATTTTGTTTCTTGCATTACAGAGTATGTGCGCTGATGGATAGACTGGAGCGACAATGTGCTTTGGTACAAAGGTTTTATAGCTATAAAGAAACAAAGTCTTGTTGCGACAAGTACGTCACCGTGCTTCCTGCAACCAATTGCAGCAGGAATATGAGGCAGTATGCCAGAGGAGACTTGGCGCCTTTCAAATGCCATGTTTATAGATCATGTTGAAATTTTGGATATAAAAGGCCTGCCTTCCAACTCATTTTTCTCTCTCTCTACATCCACACCAACACCCACACCAATTGATCCACCTATTAGCCAAACCAAGCATCAGATCCATTAAATCAACTCAGCTATGTCTTCGACACCATCCAACAAGCAAACTTTTTTTAATTATTATGATACACAGATTGATGCCATTAATGCTGCCAAGCAAATTCTAGATAAAGCTTTCCCAAACATGACTAAAGGTGTTCAGAAGACTATTTATGATAGATTCAATGCCACCAGCAGCGACATATCATGTAATTTCTCAGAAGGAGGAAAAGCATATAGTATCCAAGTCCAATATATACCTCCATATAAATGGGCAGCTGGTTTGTTATTCATTGGCCCCAATGGACCGGTACTCATGACGTAGCCACGTTGTTAATAAATTAATTGAATTAATTGAAGTTGCACAGCTCTGCTCTCACATTTGCCAGTATTTATTGTGCAAGTGTGCCCAACCCTCCTAGCATGGCAACACAACTTTGATTTCTCTTATTTCAGAATGCAAGACCCAGCAAGCACCCCAGTAGCATTCTTTTACAACATTACTAAACTGCATTTACTATCAATAAATTGTTTACAAAGTATAAAACCAGATTTCCATTAAAATTCAGCTAAATAAAAAGACCCAATAGGCTTTACATACTGCAAGAGATTAATGTTGATTATGCAATAGCCAACAGTGTAATTTGATTGCAGATGATTGCGATATTGGCCTTCAGGCTCCCAGAGCGGTGGCTAGGGACCTCTCCAAAGTCACTCAGGACTTGTATTTAAACGTTATAGAAGATAAAAGAAGGGATTGATCTCTTTATCCTTGGAAAAGCAGCACGAACGGAAGCTGTTGCCTTGAGTGGCTAATATTGGGTGGGAGACTAACCACTGCTCTGTTTGGCCGAAGGCCAACATCGCATTGATTGGACTCTGGACAGACCAGCGGGGTGGAAAACAACAGGAGTGCGTAAACGTATATTTTTCAAAATTGCAATTTTCCAACCTGCACACACAATCCACACACGATTTTGTGGATTGCTTGTGCGTAAAAACTCATGGAAATCAACTGCTGTCGTTTTCGCTGTCGCTGTCGTCCAAAGGACTGAGGCGCGGGGGAATCTCGCCAGCATCTTCAAGCGCCATTCTCCTAGTCAGATGGGGCAAGGTGACGAGCAGCACAATAGAGTCCGACAACAAGCAGTCAACAAACTGGTCCATAGTAGTAATAGAATAAGAGCCTCTAACAAGCAATCGTAGCTTGCGGTAATCGCTGTAAATGGGTTCCAACTTTGTGTAGATATCGGCAGAGGGTTGCGTGAGACGGAAATAAAAGATGGCGAGGGCTCTTAAGTATTTAAAATCCGGCTGGTCTATTAGCGCATCAAGCATGGCGCGGTCTGGCTGGAGTTGGAGGAGTTTGAGTAAAAGACAGATAAACTCTGCTGGTCGTCGGCCAGCACTATCATGATCACTTCCAATTGCCTTTAAATCGACTACGGCGTGTTCCATGACACCAGTGACTGTCAAAGCAAAGCATTGTTCTTTCCAGTATAACGAGTCGTATATGCGTTGGCGAAGCAGTTTGTCGATAAGAAATTGTGGATTGGTGCCGTGGATAGCCACGGCGGTAGCGACAGTTCGATTAGCCATGAATGAGCATATAAAAAAGGCGGCGTATATAGTAAACGTAACCAACTGGGGCTCTAAATTTGGCCAAGTACAAAACACAAGCACTATAAAGTAGCTTGTAATGGGATCGCCCCTCAGCCAAAAATTTCACTTAGGAGGCCCCTGTAAACCAGGTTTGTTACCCGACGAGAGAACAATGCCGGCGGAGCCAAGCTTTTTATGAGCATTTTCCATGACGGCGCCGTGCTGGTGAGTGCTAGAGGCCGTAGCCATTTCGATCTGCTTGCGTTCTCTATCGCGTTTAGCCATGACCTTGTCGATTTTGTTTTTGCCGCTATAGTTTCCATGAAATGCATGCGAAAGCTGCTTGTAAGCTTCCTTGGTCGTGAGCTGGCGACCCGTGTCATCGACATACTCGAGCGCGACCTGGGGCTTGTAATCGCGCATGCGGTCCTCGTATTCGCGCGCCCATTTGCGTTCCAGAGCTTCCTGTTCGCGGACCCTGATCTCCTCGAGTTCCTGCGGGGTAAGCTCGTCGGCCTTGCCCCGGCGTTTCTTCGAATCAGTAGGCGGCAAGGGTTGGATAGCGTTGCTATTTGTGTTGTGGAGCTGCTTGATGCGCTGGCGTTCGAGCGCCAAGGCGGCTTCGTTGCGGCGCTGGGCGGCCAGCCATCCGTCGCGGTTGCGCTGCTGCTGCTCGCGCAGCTTTTGCTCATCACTCAGTTTGTCAAGCATGTTGCGCTGGCGCAAGAGACTCAGCGTGGCAAAAAGACCGGACCCGACTGACGGTTCCTTGATCTGGCTGGCTGGTAGATCGATGATATCGGGTACTGGATCGGCGGCGGCCAAGACAACAGGCGCGGATTTCCCCTTGACAATAAGCGTCTCGCCCTCTTCCTCTTCTTCCTTTTCTACCGCCATTCCCGTCTCTTCCTCCTCTTCCTCTTCGACAGAGTCAGCGGGCGGATGCGGTTGCTGGGCGGACTTTGCGGCGATGGATGCTTTGAGACTCTGCACAAACTCTATGGTGCTGGACAGCGCCAAATCCCCGGGCTCCCCTCCTTCCCCCGCGGTGGTATCCAACGGCAGAGCGTTGTTGTCGGCGTCCATGCGGGCCATAGCGTCTTCTTGTACCTGGCGCGCAATGTCTTCAGCCTTGCGCACAACAGCATGGCGGCTGCGCACGGCCGCAATGGCGCGCTGCAAATCATCATCGTCTTCAATCAGACTAGCGTCGTCCAGCGGCGTATGACGAGTGTAAGCATCACTAGCGGTTTGATCCAGATTATCAAAGTCGTTAGTTGAAATAGACTTTTGGTTTCTTCCGCCTTTTGCGGATTTCCGTTTCGAGGGTTTGGATTTCTTGCTGGCGGGCTTGCGAAACAATGCGGTGGCTTCTTCCTCAGTGTAAAAGTCGCTAGCAGGTGGTTTGGCACGATCCAGTTCACTCGCAGAGTCAAATAATGGCACGATCGTGTGGCCAGGACGATGGTGCTCAGGCTGCTGGTTGATGCTGGCTGAATTGGCAATTATGCCGCCGTCGCTAATCGTAAAAAAAGAGTCGCCATCGTCATTTTCGTCTGATTTTCTTTTACGCTGGCTGCTCTTCTGAGCATCGGCCAATGCTACGCTCTGCAAGTCAGCGCCATTGCCATCGTCGGCGTCATCCAGCTCGTCGATAGTCTTGTCTTGAAGGGTCAGCACATGCTCTGTTCCTTCTCCATTTAATGCCGTCAGAGCAGAAATATCGTGCAAAACACGCATGCCGGCAAGATCGTTCGCCACGTACTCCTTCGTCGGACGCTGTTTCTGTTGACTAGATCCGTGTGCTTTAGTCTGCTGTTTTAGGGATTGTTTGAGTTTTGTCTGCTCAACCCACTTGCGCGCATCAAGAATAACCTCGTCATCATCGTCATCGTACAGACTGCTGGTCTGCACAACTGGTTTGGGTGGTGGCTGTCTGGATGCTTTGGACTTTGCAATGCGAGCGCGTAGGCTGGTATCTTCTAATGACGAGGGCTGGGAGGCGGGGTCGGCAAGTGGCGGCAAGCCGGCTTTGGCGCGCAAGCGATTGGCCTCTTCTATCGAGATTTCATTGACCATGTTATGAGAGAGGTAAAGATTGACAAAGACAGGTTTATGCAAGGTGAGGTGGACTCGGAATTAACCTCGGAGTATGTAAGCATTAGCCATGGGGTATGGCTTATGGCTGGGATGCAAAAGGGACGTATTGGGAATGGGGGGAGAGGTTGCGTGGCCAACTTTTCGTTTATTTCTCACTAGTTTTTATTAATTAAAGCTGTTCAATCATGGACGAGCAATACCGGCAATGGCGACGCAAGATTCTGGACGCGGGTCCCACCCAGTCAGCAAGCAGTGTCACATACGACGACTTTCGGGCCTCGGTAATGCAGGGAGACGATGGCGGACAGCTGCTGGACTACGTAAACAGCAAGGTGATATTCCAGGCGGGCGTGGACTTTGAGAGCCGGCCCATGGTAGTATTTTGCGCCTGCGGGTTGCCTCCCAGCAGCAAGGTGGACTACGACCGACTGCTGAATCTAATCATCTTCCGGCTGGATCAG